AAAAAATCCCCAGATCCCGGCCCCCCGTTTTTGTAGTTTTTATGTTTTTTTTTTTGCGAGGGTGTAGGGGAGCCCCCCCCGACTCGAAACCCCTTCCCCCCCCTGCGAACCCCCTCCTATTTCGGTCATGGTCGCGGCCAAAAGTTCTCGATCGGAGCGGCCACGGCCGTGGCCGAATTCGGCCGCGGCCAAGGGGAAACATAGACGTGAGCAACCCATTACTGTTGAAACGCAAACCTGAATTTGAATCTTGAGTATATATTCGGCTAGGTCGTGCTCTACTTCATATTCACTGCCTGCCTTGATTTTGGTGGAGGGGTCTGCGCTACCGGGCTGCGAGGCCCCTTCAGATAGCCTGCATGGGCCGTCTGAGCCGTGTTAGGGGGATTTCCTCCCCCCCCCCCCCGCAAAAAAAAAAGGGCGCTTCACATATGGCGGGGGGTGACGCGGTAGGGGGGATGCGCCTCCGGGTGTTTTTTTTTTGCACTTTCGGGGTTCGTTAAACGAGGCCCACCTCCCCGTAGTCCGCGACGCGCGCGCGCGCCCCCTGGGGTCGCGTTCAATTTTTTCGCGCCACGTGGCGCACAGCGCGTTTGAACGCGATTGAACGCGGCCCCGGGGGGTATGAACGCGCGTTCAGCCTGTTCAACCGGTTGCACAGGTCATATGCTTTCTCAAAGTTGATGAAGAGGACCACCGCTTCCTTGCCCCTCTGTCGCGCTTATTTCACTGTTTCATTCACCAGCAAAATATTGTCTTGTATGTTTCTTCTGGGGATGAATCCGGACTGATCCGGCTGAATGAGGTGTGTCATGTTTGGCAGAATACGATTCGTCAGCGCTTTAGCCACCATTTTATAAGGCATCGGCAACAACGTTATTGGTCTAAAATTCCTAATTTCCATTTTTACCATTTTTTTTATACAGCAACGTAGTCACTCCCTGGTAGAGATAACCTCTGAAGGTGCCCTCTGTGAGGACTGCGTTTGTGTACTCCATAAGGTTGGCGCCCAGCACAGGCCAAGTGGCCATCCAGAATTCTTTGGGGAACAAATCTAGGCCCGAAGTTTTCTCATCTTCCATCTGTTGGAGGGCTGTATAAATTTCACAGGAGGTCAAAGGGGTGTCCATTGCTTCCTTTTGGGCGTGGGTGAGCGCGGATTGGAGGTTGGCCAATAGCTGCTGCCTGGCGTTGTGGAGTTGCTCCTCCCCTCTCCGGGCCGTTCTCGAGGTGAACAGGTCACGGTAGTATTTGGCGGCGTAATTAACAACCGAATACGGATTCGTGGCCTGGGGCTGGTCTCTGTCCAGGGGGTGGGTGAGGGAGTTGATGGTCGCTTGTCTACCTCTAGCCTTAGCTGTTGCAAATAAGGTTTTGGCCATCGTGCCCTCAGTGTGCACCCGCTTGATTTTTGCTTGGACTCTCCATGCCTCGGCCTGCTCGTCCAAGTACTCTTGGAGTCTGTCTCTCGCTTGTTGCAATTGAGCATAGATTTGGTTGTCGAGCGGGTGTGTGGAGAGCTGGTCGTCCCATTGCTGTAAGGTGTGCAGGAGGTCTTCAAGGACCAATTTCCTTTCCCTGGCTCTTTTGACCGAGAATTTCTTGACCCTTTCGCTCAGTTGTTTCACCCCCTGATTGAACCAGTCCACCATTGATTGAAAGTCCGGTTTTCTGGTAACCCAGTACTCTCAATATTCCTTGACACAGATATGGAAGGAGGTCAATCTGAGCAGAGATGTATCGAGCTTGAAGAAGCCCGGCCCCCTCGGGAAGGCTAGGTGGAGATCCAGGCCTATGGCCATCATCTTGTGGTCAACTTAAAGGAACGGCATGGGGATAGAGGAAAGATCGCGGCCACCCCTAGTGGACCCACGAGGTCTTCGGAAATTAGAATAAGGTCTATACTAGAATTGGACAGGCGTTCATCGCCCCTCGATCTTGTGCAGGTAAAACTTTGTTTGCATGGGTGGAGTTTTCTGAAGGAATCCACCGATCGGAACTCAGCCATCATCTGATTGAAGACCAGGGCGGCCAGCCCGAGATGAGGTTGGGTTTGTGGTTGGCTGTCCGACCTGGATGGGCTCCTTCTATCCACATTTGGGTCCGGTGCAAGGTTGAAGTCTCCTGCCAGGATGAGGGGGATGTCAGTAGGTATGTTATGTATAAGGTCCAAGAAAAACTCTGCTCTTTCTGTTGCTGTGTTTGGGGCATATACGCAGGCCAGGCCCACTTCCTCATCCCCGTTGCTGGCTTTAAGATACACCCGCCTAAACTGGGATTCGTCCACCATCACCGACAGGGGTTTTAGTCTCGATGTGGGGGGAAGCCAGATTGCCACACCTGCTGAATGAAAACTGGTCGAGAACGCATTGAATGCGGTGTATGGCCAGACTTCTGTCGCTTTTGCCGCATGCTGGGGGGTATTCATAAGGTGCGTCTCCTGCACGCAGACTGCATCGGGCCAGTAGCGGGGGTCGGACGTTCGTATCATATTCCAGATTGCTGTTTTGTGGTTTTGATTCGTTTTTTTCGGTTGGTGGAATTTAGGTCACTAACTTAGGGTTGACATGACTATTGTGATTACAGTTTTTAGTGAATCAGATGAGCTTTATATTTTCTTAGTATTTTCATTTCTTAGGGGTAATTTAGATTGTGATGATAATTTTCGTTGACTTATTGAGTTGGTAGTGAAGTTGGGTGCGGGGTTAAATCTAGTGGTGTCCTCGATGTATTTGGCCGATGATGCCTTGCCCACTGAGGGCCCCACCTAAATTTGTAAGGGACGCCGGGCCCAGTTCCTGGCTTTTATAAAGTCATTGGTCCGTTTAAAAAAAAAGAGAAAAAATGTTGTTGATTTTATTTTTCTTCATCGTTTTTTCAGACTCTTGTGAATTGTGTGTTTTTATTTTTTGGTCTGCGTTTGGCCCGTCCCGAGTATATACATATATATCATATACGTATATATATATATATATATATATATATATATATATATATATTGTCAAATAGAACTGCCCGGTAAACCGTAGGCAGAGAGGGAGAAGAGGACAACAAACGAGGGGCTGTGACAAACTGTTTCGTCGGAGTTTCACCGATATATATATATATGTATCATATATATAGTCAAACAGAGCTGCCCAGTAAACCGTAGGCAGAGAGGGAGAAGAGGACAACTAACGAGGGGCTGTATATATATATCATATATATACATATATGTATATATAATATATATATATATATATATGTATATATATATACTAAAAGCAATATTCTTCTCTCAAACCACGAGTACTTCCTAAAGTGGTGCCCATTTTCAAGCCACAATTTTAGGAAATGTACTGGTCACTACAGGAGCGCTCAAATTCATCCCACCAGAAACTTTTCTACTCAATTCTTTTCTACCAAACACTGCTCCTTAGCCTACACAGGGGACCCCTGCAAACATAGCTACTTCTCACAATTACGGGGATGCATGTTGTCCCCCACCCTAATCTGCGGTGGTGAGGGAGTACGTTTAGGACCTCCCGTGGGAGGGGACCGGCAAACGCAAATACAGAGCATTTTGGCAGTAGCTGCACCTCCCTCTACTTCCACCACCCCCATCAAGTAACAGCAGTGTCTATGGCCAGCACTCTCTCACACAGTGCACACAACCTGCACTGTCTGCACCCACACACGTGATGGCCAGAGACCCTCCCAATACAGAACCAGTGGAGTAAGCCAACTATCTCAGGGCCGGATCCCACAGGAATGCGGAAAGGAAAAAGTTTGCCGCGGAAATGTTTCCGGGACCCCACACCTCGCGGAAAAGATTATGGAAAGGCTGAAATGGCTTCCAAAAGCCGTATTCCGGGACCCCACAGCCCACATTTCGTGGCCTGGAAGATCGTCTGTGGACGTTTTCACATCATCTGCGGTCTAGAAAACGTCAAACGGAGGAAATCACGCTGCAGGTTGGCCCCCTGAGCCGTCTTGAACTTTTCCAAAGCCAGGTCCCATGGACGGACCACGGAATGTTAGTCCATGCATTGTATGACGTTGGTGGAACATCCCTGGAGTGAATTGTCCTAGCACGTCACCCACATCCACTGGCACGCCGTTTCCTGAGGTCCACCCACCGCCTCCCGGACAACAACCATTTTCTTTTTTCAGACTTCACCCACCAAACTTTCCTTTTACGGAACAAAAAGTACCGCTAGGGCTTCGCCGCAAAACAGCACTCCACCGTGGGGTGCACGAAAAACACTTTTCCAACTTTCCAAAATAACTTGCCCGCTTTTCGTGGTGACACGTCTTTTCTATCCTCAGCGCAGCGGGGTCCGACCCTCAGTTGGTTGGCTTCAAGAGTGACAAAGGTCGTTAAGGGGATTGAACTCTCGACCTCCCGAATGCCACTTGCATGCCTAACCAACTGAGCGGCCGCTTGCTCCTGAATCTCGATCCGAAAAAACAAAGAACACACTGAAAACCCAAAAAAAAAGGGAAAAGAGCAAGGCAAGAAATCGCCAAATTGAAAGCAGTTGGTGAAACTCTAGACTTGCGAAACCCGTGACGAGTCTCTGAAGGAAAGCTTGGCACTTAGAAAAGTGTATCATGTGACATGTGTATATAAATTGGGATGTCAACTCCACTTCCGGTAAGCACGGCGAGTTCTTGGTGCGCTTCTTCTAAGTTCTTGACACGGCCGGTGGCTCGACGAGCTGCGCATTTCGGGATCTTCTCCTTGGCGTGAGCAGTGGCAGAACTCCAAGGGTGCGCTCTCTCTCTCTCTCTCTGTCTCTCTCTCTCTGAGCCCGCTGCGTCTCTGTCGCGTTTCTCAGTCTGTTCCATTTCTCTCTCTCTCTCTCTCTCTCTCTCTCTCTCTCTCTCTCTCTCTCTCTCTCTCTCTCCACACACACCCGTTGTCTGTCTGTTGTGTTTCTCAGTCTGTCTCCAATGTCCGGCTGTCTGTTTCTCTCTCGAGCACGGTTGTCGTGCATTCGTGTCTCTGTGTGCGCGCATACGTGTGTTTGTGTCTCTCTCCGTTAATTCTTCTCCCGAATAGAACGCTCGGCCAATATCGCCTCATCTGGACTGACAGATGTCCCAAATGCAGGTATAGTCCCAAAGGCGTAGCGTCTACGTCCTTAGCCGGTAAACACTACTCCATAACCAAAGCTTGTGTATTTGTACGTTTTCGTGTCTGTGTGTGTGTTCCCGTGCGCGGTGTTTGTTTGCGCGTGTGTGTGGGTGGTTGAGTGCTCTCGTCCAGCTTCGTCTCTTTGTGGTGCTTCTGCTTGCGTATGGTTTTCTTCTCCACGTGGATGGGTGTGAGATGTCGTGTGGGATGCGCCTCTTCCTGGCCAGCGTCGATGGCGCAATGTCTGCCGGTCGGATCTTCGGTAGTGGCTATCGGCTATGGCGCTCGTCTCCTCGCGATCACCCGGACTTAGAATGCCGGCTTTGGTCACACCGAGCAGATCAGCGCACTGGCCTTGTCGACGGAGCCCTGACTTGCCTCTGACTCAGCAGTGTGCGGGCAAAGGTTGAGTGCTTCCGGTTCCGGAGAGAGGGTTCGAGATACATTCTGTGTTTGCCGTTCTTCCTGTGAATGTCCTATGCTCTACAGATGCAATGTCTGTGAGTGCTATTCCCGTGCTTTGTCCGTGCTATGGCATCTCCCTGCACCACCTATGTTTGTGCTATGCCCGTGCTATGTTCTGCGATGTCCGTGCTATGCCCGTGCTATGTCATCTCTCTGCACCACCAGCGTTCGTGCTACGATTACTGCTTGTCTGTCAGGCCTGTGCAATTGATTTTGTCGTTTTTTTAAAGGCTAACGCTTGTAAGTCCAACCAATTCAATCACCACTCGAATCTGGACAGGACGGCCTTTCCGTTCTTTTTTTGTTGTCATTATAGTATTACCGGGAACCCCGTAGCAGCCACATCCGTGCTCAACCCCTAGACAAGGGGACATGCGGGAGCTGTACCCAGCAGCAGGTAGGATACCTGCTACAGCGGATGGGCTATACCGGCCAGGGGTCAGCCTGTAGCATCAGGACAGAGCTTCTTTGATTGGCCAGACGGTGTATATGCCTCCCCTCCCTCCCCTCCCGTCCCCTCCACCTACGAACATTAGCAGTGTCTGCTTACTGCTGCTGGAGGGGAACGAACGACCTATCTCCAGGTGGCGCGCACCGAGCGTGCCTACACTGCCTAGGAAGGTACATGAAGCCAATGTGGATTGAACCGGAGTCCTCCTGAATGACACTTGCGTGCCTTACCAACTGATCTAGTCCAATACTCTTTGTGTGACTGCATGCTAAGTCCGTACTTTGTCCGTGCCATGCCCGTGCTATTACTCCACGCTATCGCTCCATGCTATCCTTGCGCTATGCCTGTGCTATGCCGTGCTATGCCCGTGCTATGCCCATTCTATGTCCGTGCTTTGTCCGTGCCATGACCGTGCTATGACTCCATGCTATGCCCGCGCTATGCCCGTGTCCTGCCCGTGCTATGCTCGTGCTATGCCGGTGCTATGTCATATTCCGAGATCACTCTTGACAATGAGTTGCTCGTGCTTTCCGACACTCTCTTCTACACCAGCATAGTGACCATGGCCGCGCAGCTCGTCAGATAACGACAAACTGAAAGCTTGAAGTGATGGCCGCCACGTGTCACACTACGCTTATGGTGATCACGCCGATTCGGTGCGGCATCGGGTTAGAAGAAAATCAATGGCGTTCCGAAAATAAAACAAAAAAAAAGAAAAGAAAAAATCAATCCCTGACAAGTTTCGCCGAGTGGTTATCTACGTTCGCTGACTGAGTTTCGCTGACTCAGCAGAGCACTCAGCGATTACCTCGCGGAGAGCAGGGTCGCTGACTCTTGCCAGAACCTTCCCTGACTCTTCACGGAAGTTTCGTTGACGTCTCTGAATTTTCGGTGAGAGAACCACAGTCTTACTGACTCATCATTATCCGTTCCAGTGTGGCGGTATGGACTATCTCATCACGGCCCCGGGAGTCACAGATAAGGTTACGCGGGGGGGTGTTGTGCTCGGGGGAATTATACATGAAGTGTAATAATTTCAGACTGTTTTCTGTGGCCGTACTGAAGTCACCTCTAGTAGAGTGACTTCATCTCTCTATCACACTTTCTGCTTCGTGTATAAATAAAAGAACTGAGTGTCGGGAAAGAGAGATAGAGAGCCCTCTGGAAAAAAAAAAAGAGTGCACCCACCCGCAAAAACAGTTGTGTGGAGGGCAGCTCAGCCAGCTCAGCCCACAAAACAAGAGAGAGTCTGAAATACCGACGGCAAGGTGCGGTGGATTCTACGGCCCAGCTCCACTGCAGAACATTGTGAATCCATCAGATTCTGGAGCTGGAAATGGTCTCATTACATTCAAAATGTTGCATGGGTTCGATTCAAGTATCCGGTACATAAGTGCGTGACTGTACGGATACGTGTGGAATGTCGAGGAGTGAAGCCAGGGCCCATAGCAGCCCTGTTCCAATATAGAAGTTGGGACTGGGGAGTCAAAAATATAGAATGATGGAGCAACAATGCTGTTACTCAACTTACTCTACTTTTTCTATGTTTGACACATTTCTATCTACTCTCGAATTTGGTATGGAATTGACAGTGGTAGATCAAGCACCAAGAACTCCTTAACCAGATTGGCCCGGGACCACTTGCCCGGGTGGGCTAAAAATGAATCAAAAGATGGAAATAACAATGAACGGAGGGGTTAAAAAACAAGGGCGTCTCTCCACAACACGGCAATCCCAGGCGGGGAGGGGAGGTCATCAAAACCTTCGACAAAATTGACAAATCGACTCTCTTTCTGACGGAAAGACTTGGCGAGTAAGTGAAACCATGCACATGCCAGTGGTCCACGAAGTTGGCTGATGGAGAGAAGTGTAGGCACTCACTACGCCAGGCTGAGTGTGCTTGTGGCCACTCACTACGCCAGCCTGAGTGTGCTAAAATAGGACAAATAAGGTTATGTAACAGAAAGTAAACATCATGACTTTGAATCCTGCTGGAAAAAGGTTATAGAGAAAGGAAAAATGCCACGATTCGTTTAGAGTATGAATATTCATCTTGGTCTTTCTCGCAGCCCTCGAGTCAGTATGCCTTAACTGAGCTTTGATGCTTCTCAATAACTGCTTATTAACCGTGGTTTGTTCGCTGGCCGTGATTGCTTGTGTGTGTGTGTGTGTGTGTGTGTGTGTGTGTGTGTGTGTGTGTGTGTGTGTGTG